TGCAGCAAGGAAACCGACTTGTTACTGATTCAAAAATATCTTATTCTCTCCGATACATAAGGACAATTCTAGGAGAAGTGTATTCAACCGATGGCTTTGCCACCATATAAAATCAGGCTAAACAAGAAAACAAAACGAATTGGCTGGACAATTTAAAATTTAATTTAATATCTTTAACCACCGTTGCTTTTTTAAACATATTCTTTACACGTGCCATACCCAAGTAGTCACGGACCAAGATTCGTTTTATGTCTCTGATCGTGCAACGATAACCTCTAATTGAACAGGACAAAGCGGGTTCAAAGAATAGGCTTATTGAAAAGCAATGATTACTGTCAGAAGTGACAGGGACCGACCACAGCAACTGTCACTGTCATTAGACAGCCTGTCACTGCTGTCAGTCTGGCTCTGTTGGAAAACCGCTAGCTGCAGCTGGACTGTTACTTCTCACAATCAATGTTCTGTTTCGTCGTATTGTTCACTGTTCACTTTAGGAATGATCAATGATACTTTAGTTTAGTGAATGCGTCATTTTACGTTACGCTGAATTAGTTTGGTTATATGCATCTCGATAGTTGTTAAAGAAGAGATGTAAATGATAACACGAAATAGAGGTGAGTGAAAATTTACTTGGTAAGAATCTGCATGGTGAAAACTTCAAAGAATTATTTTTTTTAGAGAATAGGAAAATTAATCTCTACAGTATTAAAAATTTATGGTGAAAACTTCAAAGAATTTTTTTTTTAGAAAATAGGAAAATTAATCTCTACAGTATTAAAAATTTACATATATTCTTGTTAATCAAATATTGATAGGGTGATTCATGTGAGTTAAAAATATAGGTTTCGTAGGTGTACAGTGCTGGACTGTTCCTGCATTAAATTACTTTCTCATATCTCCCAATAAACTTGTGTGATCAATTAATTATTTTTGTAATACATTTGGTCAGGTCTCCAACTATACATTTCATTAAACATAAAACTCGTGAAAATTATCCACAAACAATAACATATAATTCTTTTTTAGGGTTTTTGTTTGAAATGTATGATAATCTCTGTATGTATGAAACACAGATATTAGGCCTATGTTACCGGATCTTATTTAAGTTCGTTTAGAAATCTTTGCCTCAGCATATAATAGAATATCTGCAATGATACTATACGATTCGGGGGTTTCGATAAAATAAAATGTTACCATTCCCTTACATAACACTGACTTTTGATTGCTTTCAAGGATCTTTTGACCTAAGGAACGATTTTAACAGCAAGTGTTTACGGGACTTCTATTTTAACAGAATCCTCCTTATACCAGTTGTTATGTACGAGTATATTGCCTTCGAGGAACCCAGCTGTAGGTTATCGTGGGTGTTATTGGTGCAAAAATGAACAGTCAACCAGGATAGCCAAGATATGTATATTTTTTCATTTCGAATACTTGGCTGGGTAGCTGAGTGGTTATGGACCTTTCCTAACTATTTATAGGTCTCCGGTTCGATTCTGAGAAAAGCCAGTTAGGTCTACATTTTGATGGCTAAAAGCTAATTCCTGTTACCCTTGGGCTCTTATCAAATGTTCCTGGGTTAAGAAACGGTTTGTCTAAGTCTTGATAACCTAATTCTTTATTCATATTTGGGTTAAAATATGCACGTGGTTGTACGTCGTAGTCTTTAAGTAAAATTAACGTCGAGGAAAACAAATTTTAAAATGTACGCCATGAAGTTTGTAACTGGTTGATCAACAAATAAGTTACCGAATGTTTTCTGTAAAAATAATCCGACAGTTGGCTACAAAACTGTTTGCAGGTGAAAGAATCATTTCTCTCACTGCAGCCACCATCTTACCGTGACGGTCCTCTCTGCTTGGGAACACAAAAACGTAAAAACTGGCGAGCAAATGGATCGAACCAGCGAACCGGAGCAGTCGTTCCCTCCGAGTCGTTTACAGCGAACAGCCTGAATAGCGCCAGTTCTACTTCCTGTTTATAGAAAAAGGCTAATGATTTCAAATTATTAGTACGGTACACAGATGGTAATTTGCAAACTAATCGTGGACACTTGTCCGCTTCCACAGATATGCTGTAATTGCTGTGGAATCATCTTGGCGCGCGGGATTTTGCAGATAATACAGGTTGGTCGGGCTACAGCACGGTGTTCAAGCCCTTAAAATAGCAGTGCGAGGAAAAAGGTTTAGGATTGACTTTGGAAACTGATGGAGAAATTACATACATGGCGAATACAAACTCAAGACCCCCCCCCTCTAATATTTTTCTAAGTAAATATACAGATATATCCTTTTGGTGGTTGTGCAATCTTAGCAGGACGTTTCATTTTATGATTTTGACATTTTGGAGTGTCCCCCAAAAGGGCTTTTGGGAGCAACTCAAAAATTTTAAATGTGACACCCCTTCAAGTGACACCTCATTTTGAAGTGTTTACAAAACCTTAAAGAATGGTGAAACCAGAGTTTGCTATATCTTCTCTAACCAAAATGGAAGCACGTCAAATGTTATGGAAAATTAATGGTAATATTGGTGCGTAATGGTAATATTGGCTACCATTTTGGATAGAGAAGAGATAGCGAACTCTGGTTTTCACCATTATTTAAGTTTTTGTGAACACTTTAAAATAAGGTGTCACTTGAAGGGGGTTTATGTTTAAAATCTTTGAGTTTCCCCAAAATCCCCCCTTTTTGGGGGACACTCAAAAATTTAAAAACCATAAAATTAAACTTACTGCTAAGATTTCACGGCCACCAAAAGGATATCACTGTATATTTACTTAGGGAAAAATATTAGAGGGGGGGGGTCTTGACTTTTTAGGCTTTTTACTTAACATGGTGTGTAGTTTTTTGCCAATGACTACTGGCTAGAGCTCTTTCTTGAGCTGCGATTTTATGGTTGTTTGTTGAATGGTCCGTGTTGAACAATCTTCTATGTTTTTATACTTTTTTAACTGCTCTAAAGCTCTAAACATTTGAGGTTTTCAGTAAATTACTCCCGGCGTGTCCCGGTGGTTCCAACATGAAGACGTGATCAGATTCTAGATCCTGAAACGTCGTGAATCTGTAGTTCCGTTAATCTGAGATGGAAAATGTCAGGAATATTTTTTTTTCAACAACATGCAGTACTTAATCGATCCACTTATAGAATGAAACAGTCGATTTCTGTTTTCGCTTTTTTGGTACTCTATTAAAGTAGTTTATTGGAGTATGAACGATATCATAGTTTCAAACTAGTAGCAGTTTTTTTTAAGAAAACTCAAATTTGGAGTAAAGATTAAACTGGGTTTTCCAGTAGCATTCTTATAATAACTAAGCTTTAGTGATTTACGGGATTTGCCCCCAAGAAACCCGGTCAGAAATTCCACGTTCCAACACCACTGTACTAGCAGTGCATCATATCGATAGCAATGCATACCTAACTTCATAAAAAATGTAATGAAAACAAAATATGTTCCAATCCATTAAAACTTATTTTCTATAAAACATCCATCTTCAAATGCTTTAATCTCCCAATACTTAATTCTCCCAATTACTAAATTTTATTGCGAGATCTGATCGGGATTAATTTCAAAAGCATCCAATATTGTACGTGATTAAATTCCTTTGCAAAGAATCAAACAATATACCGTTCTGAATCGCCTCCTACGCCTCAGTAGAGGCTGTACACGCCCATGATCTGGGAGACTTGAACGCCGGGTCGCCCAGAAGTCGCAAGTGGGCCGCAGGAAAAGCCACCTCGACCTTGATTTTTCGAATTAGAAAACATAATTATCCGCACGACCGTGCATAGTGCTTTCACACTTAATAGTCTTGGTGGCTGATGAGTAGGAAACATGCCGTTATGTTTGACCTTAGCGTTATAAGTTTGATAAACATTGGGGGGAGTTAGAAAGTTGACGATGGAAAGTGAATCAAGAGGTCGTTATAAGTAATGACGCGAAGTCGGTTATCATGTTGCACTTTCGATTAAACTACATCACAAATTATTTGTGATTGAATATTCAATTAGGTACTTCCAACTCATTGATTAATTTTTATTTAGTATTAACATGTTCTGCGTGTACGGGGAACAGTAATACTCTGAAATATTTTTCGTGTTCTCGTCCCTAATGTTTTATTTAGTTTTTAATACTTTTAAAGCGTTCACTGTTTGATACTAGGACGTATAGTATTTTATATTGGCAACAACTAGATATTTTTTCTCATTCGTTTCCTTCATTTAACTTTGTAGATATAGTTTTCCAAAACATGTTTAGCGAAATACGTTTTTGTGCAATTTAAAGCCAGCTAACTGTTTATTTTCCAGTGGGCACAAATTATTCTTCATAAAAGATTAAAAGCTACTCAAACGTCACTTATTCAACGGTACATTAAATAAATGAATATTGTAACCAAAGGACTTAGTTATTCATCTATTCGTTTGTGTATTGAATGAGAAAGAGTTATATGAGCGTTTTGCTTTGAATACAAAATATTTTGATTATAGACGCAATTATTTGAATTATTACATAAATTGGATGCATACGAACAAATCGCTAGTCCAGGGATTTTTATACTAGAACATGCATATTTTCAATGTTGGTCTAACTAACAATTACAGCGTTACGTTAGGTGTATCAATAGTTTTTTAACACGTTTGTTAGATTAGTGTATATTAGTCTAACAATTGATAAAAACACGTTTAATAGACCTAATAGTAGTCAAATTCATTTAAGTAATGAAACAAGATGGTATGAAATGAATGTGTTAAACACACCAACACTTGAATCTTATAAACGTTATTATGCAAATCAAATAGCTTAACACTTCTAAAACTGCAAAACATCTTAACGGATTAATCACCGATAGATTATTATCGTCCTTAATGTCTATCGTAAACTCTGTCCCTTCACTTCCAGCTCTCCTTGAGGTATAAGTCACATGTTCGCCTTTCACGAGACAAATCTTAAATTTTAAGCGTATTGAATACTTTATAAATTCATTTATGGATATAATTATTACCTTGAGCATGTATCCTAGTTATCAGAACGATGAGAAACACTAAACATAAAGCCATGACACTGAGCCATTCACTTGCGGAACTCAACCGCACTCGACCGCACTGTGTGAGCGACTGACCGCACACCACAACCGCCAACCGCTCAGTGTTGCCACACTGTCGTAGCTGGAGGTTGAATTATCGTGCAGGTAGGAAAATTATCGTGTACGAATGTCATTGCATGGAGTTTTATCAGTTTAGTTCAAATACGTATCGTATTTGAACATCATTAATCAAAGGAGTATATTATCTTTTAAGTCAAGAGTATGGAAAACGAATATAAGATATAGATTTTTAAACATTTACAATCTCCAATCATAATTACTTAGTGCTCCAAACATTATAGTAAATTGAAAGGAATTCCGAATTATCGTATTAGTTGAAAAATCATCGTGTTTAAATGCCAATACATAGAGAAGTATTTTGAATAAAATATGAGAAAGTAATCTAATAGATATAAATTGTACGGCTACAGTCGTAATCCACATAGTCAGTGCTGCTACGCTTTATCGTGTCTGAAATTGAAATTATTGTACTTCTTGGAAATTATTGCGCCAGTAACTTTTACCGTATAAATTGAACTAGCAATTTAAGTAAAACTAGTGAAATAGGGGACGAAATTTGTTTGGAACTAAAATTATCAATCAATCACGTAAAATCTTGCCTGTATGTGAAATGATGATTAGGCTACTCTTTGTTCAAATCGTATTGAATCAATATATAATGAAATTAAAATGCCCTGTTTTTCTTTCTAGATTTGCATTTTCCGGGTTTGAAAGAACTACGAATTCAGGGCTTTGCCCCCTTAACCTTCAAAGTTTCAATGACTAATGAATGAGTTATCATATGCATGTTGCATGGAGACCAGCCCATTTCAGTTAATAGTTAACACATTTTAGCTAATTGCAACATCAAATAATTGACATTCTTCATAGGAAAAGATGTTGATGTTTATGTTCACATTGTTTCTCATAATACTCAATATCGCATGTATTTTGTGTTCGATTTCGAGCAACGAGTTTACTCGAATATTATACGTAACGAATTATCATATGTACGTAACATGACTGACATTACATCATAAGTTCATAACATATACGATGGTCCTTGAACAATTAAGTTGTACGACTAAAACACCTCTTAATCACTTAATCTTTTCACCAGCGTAGCCTACTGTGTGCGCTAATTTTGTATGTTTTTTCTATTTGTCTTGTAAGCTAGATATTAATACATGGTCAGTAAAGAACGAAATAGATTACCTGTGTATTTTTGTATTGGCTGAGGCTGGATTTGATTAACTTCGTCAGTTTTACTAGCATAAAATATTCATTACATTTCAATAACCAGCTGAAGACAATCTAAGATGTGTTTTCTGTCAGGTTACTAACTTTAAATACTAAATACAAATAGAACGATCTTTTTTATACAATGATCTTTGTTGTTACAAGAGAGGGTAAAGGGTACGCTGTTAAATATACAAAAAAATATATAGAACCACATTTAGTCAACGAAAACACACTACCATTCATTAAACACAACAAATTTAAGATTTTACTCTAGCACGAGAAGTAAACACGAACTTTCTAAAATCAACAGTTTTATCGAGTATGCTTCTAAATTCGTATCTGTCCAAATTGAATTATCGTACCTGTACCATAATTATCGTATTCCGACACGACAGTGCTGGTCACTAACTAGCTATTGTCATGCTGTGAATGAAACTATTAGCGGCTTACTCTTCAATTAAGTTACTGAGAACTTCCGCACTTCTCTTCCAACATGACGCAATAGATCTTCGTCGCTAACTGCTACGTGGAGAGTTGAGTGCTTTTAAATAGTTAAATGAAAGAGGATTTCATATTTTGTGGTCAATACTAGTGTTAAAATCCAACACGAAGATTCAATCCTTGGTCCCAATTTCAACAAATAAGTCTACATTCTAATGTATATGCTAAACTCAAACTTTTCAACACTCCAACATAAAATGAATATTGCCATTGAATACGATGTAGCAAAGTAATTTTACTTTTCCATCAGTATTCAACACGGAAGTATTCAATCAATTTTAGTCACTGTCATAAACATTTTCAGTTTTACTAAGGTTTTAAACTAACCACACAAACATGATTAGTATTGGGCATTCTCTGAAAGAACACACAAAACCACCACTAGGTGGGAATTTTACCCAAACATGAGTGAAGGTAGTGTAGAATGGTGTGAGATTATCAGGGTAGCTTTGTTACTGACTAAGATCAGCTGTTTTAGCCAGGATGCCAAGGACCATTAATTTAAATCTCAAAGATCAGGAACAAAACACTATGATTATTATCTTCGATACTATCACAGATTATACACACGCCCTAATAAATTTGTTGTTATCATGGATAAGCTGGACATTTTATGGCCTCTATCAATCAATTGGATATCTCATCAAATTCTTTAACACAGCAACGCACATTTGAATAAGTTTTTAATCTGAACAAATTCGAAGGATGAGTGAAAATGGAGTGTGATAATCGGTTTTGATTTGTTTTTGTTTTCAGCTGTTTATTTGGCCATGGTCATTGAAAAAAAAAACTCCCAAAGCCAAAAACAGTTGGGCCCAGTTTCGAACCTATTCTGCCTTTTTTCAGGATTGAACTGGCAACCATCTGATTACGGGATCACTAAATCCATCTATGTAGTAGGTAGAACATTTCCAAACATTATGAACAACATTCACGTATGGGACAGAAGGAGAAACATAAAGACTAGGGCAGCCATTGTGGTCTCACATGAAGGATGACCTACTGCCTCCAGCATCTTCAGTCGCGAGACAAGACACTGTTATGTTACACATTGGACAATGGCGAGTGAAGGAGTACCGTTACAGTGACGTCATACCACGTGAGTCTAGTGACTCCAGAACACAAGTGATGGTACAGCACAGCTGTGTCTACCGCCTCAGTAGTATCTAATGATGGTACAGGGTTGAGACAATGTATTCATTCATTGAGGTGACTGCTTGAGTCCCTACTTAATGTTATCGATTGATTTGCAAACTTCAGAAATGTGTTTCAAGTACAAAATACACGTTTTTTATTGGTTATTTTCAAAATATGTGATACATGTTGGAAAAATAACCGTTTTAATTCGTATTTATAATCGATATTTTATTTATTTGTGTACTAGCTGGCCCGACAGTCGTCCTGTCCTAGTGTGGTTTTATGTCAAATGCTCGTTCATTTTCAAGATGAGCTCGTTCGCCCGGTTGAAGTTCGTTCGCTACGCTCACTCACCTTTTGGTTGAAAATTATCACATGTGTCAACGTATGTTATTGTATCCCACAGTTAAATGAAAACATTTTCCTCCAATGCTAAAGGCAAATTGTTTTGCATTTTAAAAATCAAATTACTAAATAACGATTGGATGGATTATGAATTTCCTTACATAAAAACCTTCCCCTGGCACTAAGGAAATTAAAAAAATACCCCCGCCACAGCAAACCTGCCGACTAAGCGAATTTCCATTTGTCTGAATTGATTTTTAATTAAACCTATTCAAATAACATTAGGTTTAACGAGTACCTAGGTATGCTGCTACAAAGAAACTAATAAAGTGTATTTTTTAACCGACTTCCCCACTACCAACAAAAGGAGGAGGTTCTCAATTTGTCTGTGGCGATGTTTTTTTTTTCTATGTATGTTCACCAATTTCTCTGTGATTCTTTTACCGATCAGCGTGGTTCCACCACCAAAATAACCAGGAGAGTTTCTATTTGGTACCATAGCATTATGTTTAAGAAAAATACTTGTTTGGTGAAAAATGCTGAAAACCTCAAATATTCAACATTTATTTTGTTTATATTTTTGTAGAGAAGGCAATAAATAATAATAACATTCCTACAGCTGTTAGTTAAAACCATTTAAATGAAGCTACAGACAGTTTCTTCATGAAACAGTTGCTTCATATTGATTAATATAACTATTTTTTGCCATGGAGCCTAAATCGCATTTTTTCAATGTTACTTATTTACTAAATAAGTAACATTGAAAAAATGCATTTTGTTTTGGTTACTATAAAAAAGGTATTTCAAAGTTTGACCTGATTTGTGTATGATTCTGTTTTGAGTATCGAATGTTCTGACTTATAAAAACATAGTGAATAGCTGTATGATATTGACAATTTAAGGTGTATTGTGAAAACCAAAGCATTCGTAAAAGAGGTCCAAATATAAATTAGATGCAATTATTCCTTAAACGACATAAGAGGTGTGAGATTGCATGATCGTCAATCGTCTTAAAAGTGTTAAATATTTTAATTACTAAACATGCATTTGAAGATGTCAAGATGTGGAATGATTATTAATATTCTTCACTGTCCAATTTCTCTCCTACCAGTAATATCAAAAATTTATGAAAAAATTGTTAACTGTCAGTTATTAAATTATTTAGAAGAATTTAAACTATTAAACAATACTCAGCATGGATTTAGGCCTGGAAAATCTGTAATTACAGCAGCAGTGTCATTCATAGAATCTATAATTGAATCGGTTGATAAAGGGGAGTTCACAATTGGAATTTTCATGGACCTAACTAAGGCATTTGATAGTGTCAACCACACCCAACTGATAGATAAATTACTCATTTTAGGGGTTACAAAAAAATCAATAAAATGGTTTCAGTCATACCTAAATAATCGTTGTCAGTTTGTAGAAATCACACATAATCATGTTAACAGAATTACAACATTTTCTTCTGAAACTGAAAGGGTTAAATGTGGTGTACCCCAGGGGTCAATCCTTGGCCCCCTGTTGTTTTTATGTTATATAAATGATGCTGGTGGTGCACTCTCATGTTTACCTCAGAACAATCTTTGTTTTTATGCAGACGATACAAATTTCAAAGTATCGGCTGAGTCAGTGCAACAAGTTGAAATTTTAAGTTTTGTTGAATTGGCAAACATTGGAAACTTTCTAGAGCAAAATAAATTGAAGCTTAATCCTAAAAAAACTAATTTTTTAACTTTTAAAACAAATCAAAATAAAAAGTTGATTAAACCAAATATCATGTATAATGCAGAAGAA